GCAACTGTTCAAAGACGCATAAATTACTTATGCAGAAACATGTTTCAAGATAGGAGCTTCACAGTTTGTGCTTTCCTTGGGCTGAGTAACATGCTTCAAGAGTTTTCACAGAAGAACATCTTAGTCCTTTTTTAAAAGCCCCCAGCTGCCAATGATATATGCAACTCTCTTTGGATTATCAAATTTAATATAAAAATTAAATCTACAATTTGCAATGTCTGTAAAACAATCCTTAAAGGAGGAACTGACCCCTTAGCTATTAGCTCATAAAGATAAAGTAACAGTAACCATTATATTAGTGGTTCAATTTAGTAAATCTGAGAAGAGTCTTTTCTTTCATTAGAATGGGTTTAGCCGAATTCCTGTTCCCAGTGGAGAGAAGGGATTCACTTTGGCCCACATCAACGCATCATTGAGTGAAATTGCTGACTTTCCATCTTCAAGGAAAAACACTGGACCCTAGTATGAACGCACAAAATAAAACATGCATTTAATATAGAAGTACTCTGAGAAGAGAATTACTGTAGCAAAGTAAATGGGATGGATTGTAAACAAAGTGTTCTTCTGTTGAAATAAGTTCTTCTTTTGCCAACTCCCCTACCCACTTACAGCTCACTGCACCATATCCAACATTATTTGCAAGGGTCCCCCAACTACCAGTAGATTTTCAGGGGCTGCACTGGAAGGGATGTCACTGGTTTGTCACCCTTTTAAATCTTTCACTTAAGAAATATGCACAAATGTTTTCAGTTGTGCTTGCACAAGCTTGCAGATAAGATGTGTCTGAAATATAACACTATATACATTCCATTAGCTTACCTCTGCAGGGAGATGACAAGTTGGCTATAAATCTAAGCACACTGGAGTCTAAATAATTTTTCTAAGATGATCCACATAGTTAATATTTTACCATTAACTATTACAGTTAACATTATCTTCTCATTCTTTAAAATGAAGCTTGCAGTTAGTCTAATTATGAAAGAAAATATACTTTCAAGACTGAAGAACCAAAACTGAGTGAAGATTCATAATAAATCTGAATGTGCAGACAAGTTAAGCAGACAAAGAAATACAGAATGACTGTAAGCTTATTTAATCTATCCCATGAATTTAATGGATATGAACAGATCCTATTACATTGGATTGCATTCAACAGTTATGTGAGTGGAAGCCTACTTGCACAGTTAAGTGTTTTTCACGCTCTCTTCCACTCTGCAACACCCTATTCCCCTGAAAAACTTCTGGCTCTAGAGGACATGAGGATGTTCTGCAGTGGACAACCTCTCCTCAGAGCCTCTGATGCCCAGGAGGAAGTTTTCAAGGGACACAGAAGTCTGCAGTGCATAGGACAGGATGGGGAAATTCCATTGAGTGAGCAGTTTCTGCTGCTGGATAAAATCCAAAAATATTTTCAGAATTCTTAGGGAGTGCAGTTGCATTCCATCAACCAATACCTGTATTCTTAATCCTGTCAAGCAAGAGATATGAACATCTGAGTGACTAGGAAGATTAGATCCAGTAACATAAACTGGTCCTATTGTTACTTTCAGAGGTTCTTCTTTTATTCGAGATAGCAGCGATGCATACATTTCTTGTTGCAATTCTGATGGAGGTGTATGCGGTAATTCATCACTACATCTGTGAGAAAAATACATCATATTATTTGCAATAAGATTCTAGTTTTACAATATGCAAATTTTAAAAGATTTTTAAACATCTAAAAGTTTCAAAGAATTCCTGGAATATTTTTCCTCCAGAAATGAATGTATACCCATTCAAAGCATCTAAACTTCTATTATGGTCATTGTACACCTACTTGTTTAGTGACTGAGTACAAGCTCTCCAAGCATCTAGTTCCTCAGAAAGTTGTTCAATTTTTAGGGGTACACACACCTCCCGTCTTTTTAAAAGCTGGCTGGAAAAGAATGCAGAAGTTTGCAAACATGACATAAATTCTAGCTATATATGAATGTCTGATAGGTAATAACTCCATGATTAACTATTCTATAAATAAATTTTAGACCTGAGCACAAATATTATGTTTTTTTTTTCTTCCCATCCTGAAGGCTTTGTGGAGGCAACAAGAAAATCTCTATGTATAGCTATATTACACAGGAAATAGTAACAACCTCACTGCCTCTTCTGCCCCTCCCCATCTCCAAAGAGCACTTTGAAGATGCAAAGCAAATACTAGCAAATAAAAACCTTTTCACCACTTCAATAAACATATCTGTCACAATCACCAGGCCTTTGTTTGAATGAAGAACCATCTTTCTGTGCTGTACTGGTCTGTGATCTTGCTTCAGGTTCTCTGTAAGTCCTGGGAATTAAAGGTCTCAGAGACTTAAAGGAATACTTACTGCTGCTGATGGATTGCTTAAATTATAAACAGCAGGACCACAATGGCAATTAACTTCACATATATTTAATATAATCCTTCAATTTCTCAGTTCTTGAATTTGGGATTCTTGGGTGGCTAATGCTGACCAGCTGCACAATCAAAACCTTTAAGACATGGTAGCTTATTTAAATCATGGCATACCCCACTGATAGTTGTTATGGTTACTGGGGCATTGTTTCCTCCTCAAACAAGCCGTACTGCCTAGTCCAGACAGCACAAGTCAAGCTGTGATTATAGAGATCATGCCCCTGCAAGTGCCACAATTTATATAAGACACTGTGTCTTAAATAAATACACAAACCAAGGTGGCCTGCCTGATCATGTGAAACAGGTCAGTAACGGAAGGGTCAAAGTACCTTTTGTGCAGCTGGAAGGTCTGATTTTTATTGACACTTTCTGCATGGGAAGGAAAGGATCCTATCTCCACCCTAATTTTAACAATGCCCCAGAGGGGCTACATAACTCAGGGAAAGGCCACCACAGGCACCAGTAGGGGCTTTTTAAAAGTCCTGTTGCCTTGAGTGAATGTGAGTGTGTGTGTGGAGGGGTGGAGATCAGTAACACTGCAGAAAAGATTAAACATTAACTCTCTGGATGGAGCAGGGAGTCCAATGAATACCATATACCTCCAATGTACATAAAGGCATGGCTGATACCCACTCCTTTAATACAATGTGTAGTTTCACTCCAAGACAACAACAACAACAAAAACCCCAAAATCAATGAACATCAATGAATTATTGAAAGACAGCAGTGCAGCAGGGCTCAGCCAGGTATGAGAAGGAAGGCTGAAACTTGCAATCTGAAAGGCCTGAACAAATAAAACAGGTTTTCACTTGGGATGTCATTTTGGGAAGCCCCCTCCTTAAGACTTAGGCCACCCCAGACAGGCATGCTAAGGTCCTTTCATTCCCTAACTTTCCCCACCTTTCAAGTCTACCTGCACAAGTGTGACTCTATCCTAAAGTAATAATTTCCAAAGAGGCAGCCATATTAGTCTGTCACAGCAAAATGTTTTACAGCATTTCAAAGATTGACAAATCATGGGATAAGCTTTTGTGCCACAGAGTCCACTTCATCAGATATGATATTCTGCCTATGCCCCACATTCTAATAATCATTGTTAAATGTAAATCCACAGATTTGCTAAGATTTTTTTCCTAAGAAACTAATCTTTTCTTCTTGCTAGTTTCAATTTATGTTTTTTTTTACTGTTATTGGTTTGAAAAATAAATGCACATCTCTTCTTTAAATTTTGCTTTCTGTTGTGTTTATATTGTTTATGGTTTATAGTTGTATGTCTTAGTTCATATTTAAATTGTTTTAATATAACCTGTGCAGATGTTGTGCTATTGAACGACAGACAAATGTTGGCAAATAAATTAATTAAGGCAAGGTAGCAATGAACAATGATAGTATAAGCCATATTTCTGCAGTTAATCTAATGTATATTCATGTAAGTATAACAATTATATAGAGATTTATACACTGTTCAAGTGCCAGTGGACACCATAAATTGTGGAAATAATTTTTGTAGGCATCTGATTCTATAAGTTGACAACTTTTGGGGAAGGAGAAGCAATGTATAAAACCCAGCATAATTCCAACAGATTTTGGATGCAACTATATCAGTAATAAAGACTGTTACCTTGTATATTCATAAAGTGCTGGCACTATGCTAGTGTATTGTCTTCTAATAGCCAGTAAAGCACCAATGTAGCCACACAATATTAACAGCTCATTTCTAAATCTGAAAATAATAAACACATGTTTCCACTATTTTGCTCAATCATTATGGATAGATATTACTGGTATACAGAATCTGTTTGCTGCATTTATATGCTGTTTTTCAGCTTAGTTTGCAACGCAAGTTAAATATAACAGTTAAAACCTTTTAAAATTAAGAAAGCAGTAACACACACACACATTAAACTGGGAGAAACAGCAACACTAACTTTGTAAAATCAAAATAAATTTACCAATATTCAAAAATGATCATTAGAATCATAGGTAAAAAAAAGAAAGGTTATGACTTGTATCAGTCAGCTAGTTAAAGATGCTGATTCAAGCCCAGCTCATCAGTCAGAATGTGTTTTCTTCAAAACCGTGGTAAACAGGTATTCTGTTAAGAGATGACCTCAACATGCTCCAAACTAACAGCAAGTGTATTTTCACTTCCACAAAACTGCTTACTATTAATATTTACATTATGTACATCAAAAAATCTACCAGCTTTCAAAGGCAAATGCAAATGAATAATGTATATGCTTTGTAGCAGCTAAGATTCAATATCATAACTTTGAGGCAAAACATACTTACTCACTACATTTATGAAGCAGCAACTTTTCTGTACGAATATAGCTTAGAAGATCAAGAAATGGACAGACTGAATCCAGGCTCCATTCTGAGCTACTGATTTGTTCTGCGAAACATAAAAAAATACAGAAATGTTGAAGAAAAGAGGAAGAAAGCACAGGATAATTTTTAGATTATTTAGACAAAGTTAGAACCCTACCTTTGACATACTGAATGCCTATAGGAAGTGCATTTTCTGGTTCTGTAGTTAACAGAAAATACTTTATTGACCCAAATATATTTCCTTCAGTCTGAGCTGCCTCTGCCAACTTCATGCATTCTTCTACATCTGGTAGGCCACACTGAAAAACAAAATATGTACAAACATTTACCAATTTGGATAGAAAAATGCAAACTGGTATTTTGCAGAGTGGAGTGGATTCGACTGAAGTGGAAGCAATGATAACACATGAAGACGTTCCCCACAGTTCAGAGGTGTAGTTTCTTTTCCCACCCAATGACAGGAATTTATCTATACTGCTAGTGGAAAGGAATATTACAGAAAGCATGTGCTTCCCATATCTTCAGACTCCCATTTCTCCATTATCCAGTTTCTTGTGCAAGAAGAATGGATGGAAGGCATATGTAAGGAGAACTGTATGGGCTATGTGGCACAGATGTCAACTTCTCATTACTGGTAATGCCACCTTGTAACACCTATACAAGTATCCCTTTATTTGTGCTGGAGGTGGGCATAGGAAAAGGGTTCTCTTGTGCCCTGTGGATGCAGCTACCGAACATCAACTGAGTTCACTGCATGCACAACTGAGTATATATTATTCCTTAGAACAGGAAGAGTAATCTCTTTAGCATGAGCATAAATCTGTTCTTCATGCTGATTTAAGTACCTTAAAACTACAATAAGGCCACGATTCAATAGCTCAGTTCTGCATACAAGCTTCATCTGTACAGATGCTTTCCATTCTTTATTCTAATAAAAATTATTAGAAGTCCAATAAGAAATGCCCGTTTGACCTGAACTTCCACTGTGTGGTGGCATGGAAATGAAATAAATAACAACAACAATATATAGACTCTGGCAGAATCAAAGTCTGAGGTGAAATTGTTAAAATATATTGCTAATATAAAAATAGGAATATTCTGAAATATAATACCCACATAAAAACATTCCAGGCATATATAGCAAATATTGACAGCAGGGAGACTAAATAAACAGTCAAACAAATAATGTAGAAATAAATCTGAATGCTCTATAATGGAAGAATCTTATAATAAATATATCTAGGTATTAACAAATTAACATGAAACCTCTTATGCTACTCACATAAATGGTTAATAGACAGTGGGCCTCTCAAGTGTACCTTTTCATGTAGGTCATTTATTTCTGCTGTGCATCCAGGATAGAAAGCACAAAGCTTTACTAACTGCAGTTCATTATTGGGAATCATCATGAGAAGATCTGCTGCTAAATCCCTGTGAAACAACATAAACAGGTCATGGTCACTCAGCAATATGTGAAGGTAGATAAGCAGTGCCAGAATTGAGGCGGATTGTTTTCCTTTTGCTCCTCTCTGACTGAAATTATAGGTGAGGGGAAGCCACTCTTACAGCTCTGGTCATAATGCAGAAACTGAAACAGAAATGAGATGCAATGAACCTCAGACTCATGTGTTCTCTCTCCTTTTCACAAGGTAACTTTCATCATAGCATGCAATTGTGATTTGCTCTGAAGGGAAAGCCAATGCTTTCATTCTCCTCACAGGCACAAAGAGGAAGCATGCATGCCCAAGGCTCTCTCCCAGTTATCTGAACCAAGATTTGAGAGAATGTCCGAAGTGGGCCACTGTCATATTGCCCATTTCAGTTCCTTAGGATGGAAGCAAACAGCCAGGTATGAGCAGTCCCATCCATGTGGACATGCTTTACTGAAATCATAAAATGGGAGATTTTATAAATGAGAAAACCTAGCTCAGGCAGATTTAGCATTCAAGATCAAAGTATGCCTGCTAATTTAACTTTAAAACTAAAGCTATTAAACACATATTTTCAATGTGTGGTACCATGCAGACATTGTTTTGTAACTTCTAGGAAAATAAGTCTTTACAGGTTTGAAACCATTTATCTTGTGACTCCAGAAATGAAACTGTTCAGTCCACTGTAGATAGAGTATATTATACCACCAATGGCATTAACCTATGAAGTTGTTACCGCTGTGAAACTTGCAAGTCAATGCCATGGGCTCTCTGTGAAAATCCTTCATCATTTAGGATCAGAGAAGATCTGTACAGAATGTGTATGCAGAACTATCCCAAGCCAGTGCAATCAATGGCAAAGCCTACAGATTTATGTCAGAACCATGCAAGCATATAGAACCCTATAATGATGTCTATCGACACTTAACTTTCTCTATGGTTAATATTTGAAGGACTGTGTGTTTACACAGAAAGCCATTTTTTATCTGTGCTCCTAAGGACAGTTAATAAACATGCTCATTGTTTCATGATCACATGTGTACACCAGTAAATAACTAACTGAATAAATAAAAAGATAGTGTGATGTTAATGGACAGCTTTCAAACAAATCCAATCACTCACTCCCTCACATACACTTAAAATAAACTGAGATTCTTTAATTGATTTGCTGGTAATATATACTTTGAAGACACTGGGCCCCCAAAGGCTCTTTTGACTGAGCAAAAATTGTGCTACTCTCCAGTACTACTTTAACATTGCTGCTTTGTCAGCATACTGTTAGGTTTTCAAAAACAACAGTTCTTGAATTCTATGACTACTTATATATGAGTACAGCACTTTTCAATATCAGGCTGTCACAGTACAAGCTGTATCCCTCATGGAAGCATTCGATAATCTCACAATGGGAGATGGCTGTTTTTGAATAGGTCCTTGCAATTAGAACTCAAGCTCATCAGTAATCCATGGAATTCCATTAATAACCTACTCAGTCTGCCTATTTTATTTATCAACAAAGATAATGTAGACTGTTGAGTTCTCTTTTTAATATAACCACACAATATTCCCTATTTCCCCCAAAATAAGACCTAACTGGAAAATAAGCCCTAACATGATTTTTCAGGATGCTTGTAATATAAGCCCTACCCCAAAAATAAGCCCCAGTTAAGATCATCAGCCAGACAGATGCATTTGTATGTCTGTTGCAACACAATACGGGGATTGGAAAGTTATGACAATGTTCCAGAAGAAGATAACATATTTGAATAAATGGAGATTTTTGTACGTAAATAAATGGAGATTTTTGTACATAAATAAATGGAGATTTTTGTTCATGAATAAATGAATAAATGTAGACTGCTGTACATGAAAAATAAGACATCACCTGAAAATAAGCCCTAGTTCATCTTTTGGAGCAAAAATTAATATAAGACCTGGCCTTATTTTTGGGAAAACATGGTTATTTTGCAGAGGACTAATTAGATGCTCCCCTCCCCACTCCAACCTCTCTCTAGAAAAAGAAAGTACCTGTATCCAAGGGATGGAAAGCTAAAAAAAAAAATCAAATTTTAACAGACAAAAATTACATTCAAATATTTACATACACAGAGCAAATTGTGAGAGAAATGGGAAGAATGGTGCTCAAGTTCTAACTAGACTAGGGAAGTGTAATCACTATAATGGTAACAGCTACTGCAGTCATACTGACTTGTTCCTCTTATCCTTCAACTATTCAACCAAATCCTACAGTTCCCTTAAAAAACTACCTTGCATACTGACACTGACATGGTTAACAGAACACAACAACCCATCATGGGTAACTAGCCATGATGGGTGGTCATGCTGTCCAAACTCAGACAGCTTCCTGTATTATGGTTTGAACAAGCCACCCTAAAAACCCATTGTTTTTTTGTAAGGACTGTCCAGCCCATGGACAGTGTATCATCTGAACTTGGCAAAGGAATTTTATTAATTGGCAAGAGTGGCAAACCTCCTGCTGCTCTTCTGGGTTGCCTGTGCCACTACCAGCACCAACCCACCCATTAATGCCCAAAAGGCACTTTGGAGCAACTGTCACTGGTTCAGCACCCTATCTCTTTGAGGGTGGGGGCAGGGGCTGTGCACTTGAGCTTGCGAGTGCACAGGGGCATGTTTATAGCTTTTTGATATGTCTTGGCTTGTCCAGTCAATTTTCTTGTATGTTTCAGTTGTTGAAGGGAGTGCAGAACAGTAGGCACCATAAAAGGAAACTGATGAGACTGCACATAGCCTAATTTGTACAAGGCTACCAAGGACCAATTGCCTAGTTGTCAGCCGAACAGTTGGTAAAGGGGAAAAAGCAGCAAAAGGAAGTGAGCCAAAAGGGGTGCGTGTGTCTAGGAAGGAAAACAGATTTCCCACTTAGCAATGCAATCCTCTAGCTTTTAACTCAGAGTTTTCAGTGCCCTCCACTTTTTCAACCATTTTCCAAATGTCCAGCTATTTCAAAAGAGGGAGATATTAACACCTACAACTTCTTGCAGCTCTTTTTCATCCCTGTTCTTACTGTACTTCATTGCTCTCTTTGACAACTGAAACAGACAGAAATTAACCAGGCAAGGCTTCTTTTAACAGCCATGAATGCATTTCTGGGCACATGTGAAAGACCAGAAAATAACTTGAAAATATTGCAGTTGAAAACAATTGCAGTTTCATGGGCCTGAAAAATAAGGACTTCAACTGTGCTGTTTTTAGGCTTCAGAGAAAAAACCCCCACATGTCCATGAATGAAAAAGAGTAGCAATTGAAGCAGGGAAGGGGAGCAAAGAGCAGTTCTGCTGAAAAGAAACTAAGATACTGACTAGAGGACTGAGAGGAAGAACAAACTATGTGGAGACCAATTGTCTGTCAGAAGCAATGATCATACATGACAACTAACTAAAAGCTGTTGAACTTATGGTTAGTTTTGGCTGAGCGGCAGCAAGCAAACATGGTGCCTCCTGTGTACATGTTACTTCTGCTTTCCTAAACGGTCCAAGAACCCTCTTGTTCCTGGCTTATCATGATGTTCAAACCTGGCAACTCTGGAGTAAGAGTTAAACAACCCACCCAAAATTTACCCAATAATAAACCATAGATAAAACTGAGATTTTTTTAAAGTTTAATAACTCAATCTACCAAGCTGTGACATAATGAAAACACACCAGGAATAAAGTAATTCTGGGTCAAAGGAGAAGCAGGCAAGCAGACAAGAACCAGCTTGCTCACTTCCACAACCACACAACTAATTCATGGTTCATTAACCATGGGTTCTTTGAATGTGCAAACTGGGTCAGAATTTCTTTACCACAAGAACATTAGTTCACAATATGCTCAACACACCATTGTAGCTTAGCTTCAATTTCTCATTATTTCTTTTGATAAAAAATAAACACTAATTTTGAATACTTGGGATTTTTATAATAGACCATGGTTTGTTAGGTACAAAATATTTGGAGTGAGTTCTTACCATGCTGTTACAGTCATACATTTTCTTGCTAGTAACTCTAGCGCATAATGTGTTGCTTGTGCTGCACATTCTCCTAAGACAGTACCGATGCTGACTGCCAGCTCCAGTTCATTTCCACGAATCAGGTTTGCCATGGCAAGCTTGCTCAGTAAGAAAATCATATAATTGTTACAAGCATCTCAAGGATTCTTTTTCAAGAATTTATTTTCAATAATACAGGAGTGGATTATGGGAATCCAGACACTACTGTCTTCCATTTATAATCCTACTGTATTATGTAGTAAGGAAAAAATATGGAGGTAGGAAAACACAGGTGGGTTACAAATGAAAATAATGTTGTCTATACCCCTTGCAAAATTTCATGATTGAAGCAGAGTGATTGCACAATAAAATAATCTATGCTAACTGATTAACCTCCTCAGGTGTGGTTTCTTGTGTCATCCAACACTGGCAAGGTTAGCTTGTTGGGATGGTTAACCTATGGCCTGTTGTAGAGTAGTTTGTTAACTATCCCAACAGGTCATTCTTGCTAGTTTCAGAAAACATAAAAAGCTGTGTGGCAGGGAATTGGCAGTTGTTAGCACTATAAACCACCATGGCTAGTAAGCCAAAGTGGGCTGTAGCCATCATGCAAACCAGATCAAATGTTTCTTAACTGTAAGAATCTAACTGGGCATTTTATCTCTTTTGAAGGAAGTTTAAGGAATAAGGTGGTTGTAAAGACTCCAGTGGACACTGTTTCTTCCTCGAATGGTCAGACATGCATTTGTGATATCTTGAGCTCAGTTTGAACTTTTAAAGAACTGGTCTATGACAATGTAATAAAAAAAAAAAGATTTTTCTGTGGCAGTGGAATTAGGCTTTGCATTCCATTGTTCCCATGACTTCAATGGTTGCTGCTTGCAGTGGCAGGAAAAATCAGCAGCTGCTTCATAACCAGGAAAGAGGAAGAAAGAATGCAACTGACAGCAATGCATTGTCTGGAATACATAGTTCCTGTTACACATTAATGCTTTTTGTCCTCTTCCCTACCTATAGTTTGCTAAAGCTCTTCTAGGGAAACAGGGTAAAATCTGTATAATAAAGAAGTCCGTGGAGACAGAGAAATTAAGTTCACAGAACTGTGATGCATAGCAGAATCTAAATTATATTGCACACAATATATGCTGATTTCCAGTAGTATAAATAAATCTAGTAGTGATATAATCTAACAAATGAAATGCATTTAAAATTTCTTCAATTATTTTCTGCCAGGTTTTTAAAGCTAACAATGCAGCTCTTACGTGTTCTTTATTTTACACCTATTTGTGGCAAATCTTGGCTATCTCACTGATGTAAAAACAAGTTTATTTTTATATAACATTGCCTTTTATTTAATAAATGTATACAAATGTTGTGCTTAATAAGAGTAATTGATACCTGTTAGTATTTCTGTAGAGAGTGGGTAGAAAAAAATTACCTCAATATTTTCAACAGCTAGATGGCAACAAGCAGCCATTACTGAGCAGCCATCCTGGAAATACCATTCAGCCAGTTCTTCAGTGACTTTATGTAGAAGTCTATGCCCAAAAAAAAAAAAAAAAAAATCATTTGGATTACACTGAAGCTAGATTGCAGAGAATAGCCTAAGACATAACAGACCTATTCCCTTTAAGACTCCCAAAAAGCACCAAGAACTGGCTATTCCATCTCACCATGACCATCCCGGCATGATTTTCCTAAGCTTTTTGCCACATCCACAGGATGAATCTTTCTCTTGACACAAGAGTCTACACTGATACGGTTAAAATGTCAACTGAATTCTCACCTCTCTTTCCTGGGAAATGGGGCATTAAGTTAGCCATCAACTACCTATGTAAAGATTATACCAACACCATTGGCTAAATGCTCACTGAAGGATTTCCTCAAATTTTCAATTTTCCAATCCAAAGACCACATAAAATAATAGCACCATTGGAAAAAGCCAAAATCAGATTTTGCTGGTTTCTTTTAAGAGAGAAGAGGTGCATTCCTCTCCATAAAGTCCCTCAGGGATGCTATCTGGTTGAAGGAGAGAGATTTGGCTATGGGCAGTACAGAATGAAATTAATAATAATAGTAGTAGTAATAATTATAAAGGGAGAGAAGAGGAAGGGAGTGGTATACCCATGAAAAACCCAATCATCTGTCAGGCTGATCATGGCTACTTTGCAAAACAACAATAGATTTGTAGCATAATGGCAGGGTGAGCTGCTGTGCCATGGAAAGTCAGCCAGGATCTTAGAAAATGGTAGGTGTATGGTAAGTATATGCAAATTGGAAAACAACATGGTACTGGAGCATCATTTTAAAAGCTTCAAAAAATCTGATAGTAAGGATTTTGGATCTGCAAAAAGCTAGTAATGATTCTCAATGACTTTCCTGAAAAAAGATGAGGGAAGAAGATTTGTTAAATATCTGATAATTGCCATGCCTCAAAGAAGTAGAAATTTGATGTTTTGTCAATACTTCTTGAGTGACACTACTTAATAAAAGATTTGGCAGCTGTATCACTCCTTTTTTTCACATCAACAAACTTAGTAGCCCAAAACCAATACATATTGATAAAGAAATTATAGATCCAGATAAATAAGCCAAGCTCCAAAAGGGGCTTCATATTTGATACCCCACCCATGTATTCCCCAAAGTTACAAGATTGGAAAGTTTAGAATTAGACATTGTTTAGGGGAATCTATCTACTATGAAGAAATGAAAAACAGTAGTTTTCCAATTTCAGCAAATAGTATCTAATCTCAAATATCAGTACGCTATTTTTTCAACCTGTCAGGTCATCCAATTAAAAAAAATTCTGTATGACTCACTCATTATAATCTTCCATGCTATTTCCTTCAACATTAGCTGAACCATTAGAGGCTGGACACTGGAATGTTTGTATATTTCCTTCACATGCTGCCTAGAAGCAGTAAAATAATGTCAACCAAAGCAATGCACAAAATTCTTCTCGATATTACTGGAAGGTTGAGGAGGAAACAATGGGCTAATAAAGGAAATTAAGACAAAAATATAAAGCAGGCATAGCGCATAGCACAGAAGAAGAAAAGTGCCCCCCTGCTATATGTTACAACATTTTAGAACACTAGAATTCACACATTCTGCATATGGGGAGGGCCTAACTTATTTGAACTGCTTTATTGTCCACAAGAAAATACTATTTTTAGGAAAAGCAAACAAAACCAAAACAAGCTCCAGCCTAAAAGCAGAAAATGAAAACGAACTTTCTTTGGAACCTCATGCAGGTTCTCTAGTAAAAGCTACATTTATGGATCTGACACACTTAAAACCTTGCCAGAGCTTTATGCTAGCAGCTGTATTCCTCTTACCCTTGCATAAAATATCTACAAGTAGTACTAGTTCACAGGGATAACTTCCAAGAGCAATGTGGGATCCATCATTAAAATTAGAATTAAAATTCTGGAACACAGGATTGCTGGCAGCATAAACACCAAATTTATTATTTGTTTGACCAGCACGTAAGTTATATTTGCTACACTGATTTATACCCCACTTTGAGTGCCATTTCATTGGTACAAGGAAACAAAGGTATAAAACAAATAAAATAGGTCAAGATGACAATATATGTAGAAACAGGTAAATCTAGAATGGGTGTATTTCTTATCAATAATTTCATTTCTGATACTAACAAAACATTTTTGATCAGTTCGACTACATATGTTGATTTAGACACAATGTGTATGAATATGTGGCAACATTTTACAATGTCATTCTTCAACAGAAGGGCTTGAATTTGTTTTTGTTTTTATTTCAGGAAAAAGTAGGAAACTATAGAAACAGAACACTGATCATAGTTTGAAACTATATACTTTAAACTTAATACTGTAGGTTAACAATGTACAGCTAAAGGCTTTTCACATCTTGAAATATGTAGCATTTACTGACGTACAATAAGCACCTATAGTGGTACCTGAGCAACTAGCAGAGCTTCTTTAAGCTGACCTCTTGAAGTAAAAAATGTGACAAGCTTCTTCACATCACCAGTAGCTATGCAATATGGAATAACATCATCATTTTCTTCCTGAATTAACTGGTCAGCTCTCCTAAACAAAATCAAACATCTCAGCTATTTAGTTTCATTGCAGTTATTTACTGTAAGATCCAGTCACAGAGCATCAGTGGGGCTTCAAAATTTATAAAGCTCACTGCCACTTATCTGCCTTTTCAGGCAGATAGTATATTTTAATTAAAATTTGTTAAAAGAATCTATCACAAGCATTTATAAGAATTGTCTCAAATGACCTATTACACACACGCACACACAATGATGCTTGGAGAATCTGGTTATCAGATACATTTTTCCTTTAAAGTTGGAAAATATGGACACCATGAAACTTTTATTTTATTATATCCCTCCTTTTTTCCTGGAAGGAACTGAAGGCAGCTCACATACTCTTCTTCCTCTTAATTTCATTTTCATAACAACCCTGTGAGGTAGGCTATGCTGACTGTGAAAACCCCTAAGTCACCCAGTGAATTTCATAGCTAAATGAAATGAGAACTAGAAACAGGATCTGAATCCCAGTCAAGCATCTTGTTCCCTCTGTGGCCAACCAGATGCCTATGCAAAAGTCCACAAGTAGGGAGTAAATGCAGTTGTACCTTCTCACTGTTGATCCCCAGCCACTGGTATTCAGAGGCATGGTGCTGTTGATCCTGGAAGCAGCATACAGTGTAACCACTAGTATCTTTATCCTCATAAATATGTCAAATCCCCCTTTAAAGGCATCTAAATTGATGACAGTTCCTATACTGTTGCTGGCACCCATTTGAGTAAGGTAGAGAAAAGATTTGTTGAGCAAAGACTGGGTTGGCAAGGTCTATGTTTATAATTCCTGGACATGATTTAAAAGGGTTACAATTTTTGCTTAATAAGCAACTCCCTTTTTCAAATTCAAAAGAAGTCCTGATGGATGTGTTATGATTGTGGCTGGGCCATTACTACTACTAGTACATTTGGGCCAGCCACAGACTCTTAAGATTAAGCTACCTTACAAGTGAAGATAAAGTGGAGAGAAGAAGGGTTATGTAAGCCACCTTAGATTCCTCAGAAGAGGAAAAAAGGCAGAGTATAAATGTAGTGTAATATAATAATTAAATAGTAATAATGATATACGGATAAAGCAATTGCTATGATTGGGCCCAACAATGACTTTCTGGTTATGTTATATGATTGTTTTGGTTGCTACTGCTTATGATTATCTGATCAGTGGCAGGAATTTTTATGAGATTTTAGATCCAGTGATGGATAGGCGAATGCCTGGACCCAAGAGGCAAATTGTGATGAGGCTCATTCTTCAGGCCTATATGAATGAAGATGATTTGACTGATGCTTGGAGAATTTTGTATCCTTTCAAGTGAGACTACACTATTATTTCAAAAGTACATCGGAACTGCTTTCTAGTATATTATTTTATAGTTCCTATAGCTTCATAATGTCAAATAAAAGTTTATAAGATTGATATGCTGATACAATCAGATTATGCCCGTATTTACCTAGAGTTGCATTTTTTGGATTTTCAAGGTCCCTCTGCCTTACTGTTTCTTTTCTTAATGATAAAGTGTCAAAAAAAATCAGATTTCCACTGAATATTTTGAAGATAATGAGGACAGTGTTGATTCTTGCACCACTGTGTGGGAGGCCAATAAAGCTTTTTTACCTGGGGTCAATTATTGTCTACAACTTTTGCTTAAAGAATTTTTTGTTTTAAAAAAAACCAAGAGTTAAGAAATTGAAGAATCTTATACCCAGCTTGATATTTCCTTTACTGCACAAATATATCAGAAAGAACAGAAAAGTTTAATGTGAGTTAAATAACATCCTTCTCATAAGTAAGAATTTATTTAACTGGTTTATGTCAAACATACTGTATTGGTATATAAAAATTTTAAATACATACCTACAGAAATATTGACAAAATTGTGAACATACCTGTAAGATTTTGGCACATACTCTTAAGCAGAAGAAATACTGTAATGTTATTTCAGTAGATATAAATTCACAATTTTGAAAGTTTTTTTTCTAATGTTTATAGTATGGTAGTGAAACATCAGACGAGGATATAAATAGGGTTTTATTTCTTATGCTATTCTTCCATGCACAGATTCCTCACAAAGGCATTTTTATGTTGCCTTAGCATATCAAAGAAATCATAAAAATGCTTGGAAGTATCTCCAACTGAATGGTATTTGCTAGTTTCTTCATTCTGAAACTTTTATGACTTTATAATTTTGAATAGAATTCCCTTCTTTTATTTAATTTATGATGATTCCAAAACCTGGTGAGGATCACACTTGTTGTGCTATTAGCCCATTTTGTTAATGAATGTAGATATTAAAATATGAATTAAATTTTTTGCTGACAGATTGGTGGGATTTATCAAACAGACAGGGAATCAATAATCTTAGACTACATGTTGATTTAATAGTTTAAACTTGGATAGAGCAGTACAGATTGTTATTGATTCTTTCAGTGCTGAAAGGATCCTTATCAAATTAATTGGAAATCCATATTTACTACACTGAGTAATTTTAGCTTCCCTGATAAATTCTGCAAAAGGGTTAAAACTTTATATTCACCCCCTAGAGCTGCAGTTATGATGAACTGCCTTTTTTCCAACTTTTTAATCTTACCTTTGCATTAACTTCTTCCAGTATTTCATAGATACCCCTGGTGCAACTGAAAGTGCTTTGTCCCACTAGAAGAGAATATGTTGTGCATAATATTATTTATATTTAAATTCAAGAAACATGAGCCATTCAATCATTTTTGAAAACAGCCCCCTATTCTGAAGATTTTTTCATTTATAAACTAACCATTTAGTTAGCCTTTCCACTCCTATTTGAAAGTGAAGAATATGAAAAATGAAGTAGTCAGTAAAGAAGCCAGTTTGCCAATGGTCATTCTTCAAAAATGAATTGCAGAGTAATTCTGTGTTTACTGTATATGCATAAAATAAATTGGTTTTGAACAAACTCTTTTCCAGATAGTCTAAGGGCAGAACCTCATGTAATTCAGCAAACGTGTTTTCCTAAATACTTTTGGGTTAACAGTAATGCAGGCATGGGAAGGAAAGACATTTGCAAAGAGAACGGAATGTTTGTGAGGGTATTTAATCCCTTTTAAGCACCCAACAAGTCTTGTTTACACCCTTTCCCAAGACTTCCCAGTTCAGATTCATGGATATGCTTTGGAATGTGTAGTTCTGTTTTAAAATAAGGGGAAAGCATACAGAATTAGGGAACCCTACTTTAATAATATATCATGCAATGATCTAGTATTTACCTCTCCAAGTTCCACCATAAGTTCACAGTATCTCTGAATCTGCCCGAGTCTTAGATGTATCTCTGCTGCTTCCTTTAGCCTTTCTTCCTTGCTAGGTGTGCCAATGCCACCTCCAAATTTAGACATCTTTACAGTTGTGAGTTCCTGGGCTTTAGACTGAAAGAAGAAAAAAATGCAATAAGCTGTTTCGCTACAACATGTGGTAAACTTTGATAACTTTGGGGCCTAGCTGCATGGCCCCAATTGCTAGAGAACTGCTGCTGCATTTGAAGTTCTATTCCCCCCTCTACCCGCCAAATAATATAACTATGGTCCATCTGTAAGGCAGAAAAACTAGTACCATGCACTACACTATTCAACCAACTTATTTCTGACTTGCAGAAAATGTTCCCATGCCTTCCTTTCATGTTATTTGCCTGGACTTTTCGTGCAAAACCCTGAAGCCCTTATGCAAGCCCTGTTGAAATTAACACATGTAAATTTTCCTAATTTCATTCAGTGGAATGTACATATGGGAAGAGTATCCAAAAGAAACACCTTTACCAACAAAGAAAAAAGACCAAAACTTGATCCATTGTTAATTGTAGCAAAATAGAATTTTGATATTTTGGTAGCATATTATGTAGTAACAAAAAGTACATCTTGGAATGTCTAGTATTGTAAGATATTTTATAATACTTGCTGTGTATTAGTCTCACCAACATGGTAGTTTTTACATTTTAAAAATTGGCAGGTTGAAAATCCCTTCCCAACATTTCCATTGGAAAACAAATTTGCTTTACTATTTCTATACTGCCTAATGAACAGCCTAATTAAGAAGAGAGTTGCTATATTCCAAAATTACAGTTCCCATTTATATATCTGGTATGGGTTCGTATAACCATTTACAACTGTTGTAATTGTTCGTGTAAAGAGAAATACAAACTATACCTAAATAGACTAAACATGTATGCCAGTCACTGGCCTAAAATCAACTGGCTCAAGGAAACAAGAGTGCAGCAAGAGGTATAAATAAGTGCATCAGCCAACTAATAGACAACTCACTCAAGTAGGAAAAGGCAAGATTTCTTGCTAAAGTACATACTATTTTCATAATGGGCATTTTGCCATATGAAGTAATAGTATCTTTGTTGTAACTGAGAAAGAAGATGGTCCATTTGCATACTTAGCTTACCATTCTAAATCTAACCAGATGTTTCATGTGCATAATCCCTTTGCAATAATTCTGTGGAAGCAAGCTATCATCTTGGCCTTTTATTACAGCTACAAGATCCCATAAGTTTTTACTGCCTCCTGGGGGCTGGAATAACAACAACAACATGAAGTACAAGATTAGTTAAGCTATACAAGAATTAAGTCTGTAACAAAATGGTACAATCTGCATGTTGTCAGTCAATGGGAAAGCAAGAATAGGTCAGTTTACAAGTAAATAAGCCAACACTGAATTTAGATTAAAAAGAACACCAACTTGGTTCTTGCATGCCCCCTATTTATGTATGTATAGCTGCGCATTATTATTTATCTATTCTTCATCATCAATGTTACAGATTAAAACCTAAATCCAATGTCCACCCATATGGCAGGACTTCTCCTTCCCCATGTGCCTTCTAGAGGGCCCCTAACTCTCAGCAGTGGATTTGAAGGGTGAGCAGGCAGTTTCAAGAAAGAAAAGGAACTGTTCCATTGATGTTTCCATTCCAGTGGCACATGGTTAGGGTTGGATAGGAAGGGAAAGAACATGGAGGCAGAGATAGAGGAAGAGCAGGTGTTTATTACTTATTTATTATTGCCTAGACCTGGTTAGCAGTAAAATCTGAAGACTAGGGCATAGTGTTTCACAAGAAAATGAGGAGGAAGCTGAGGTAAACAGGGGTCATGCTATTTTTATGGCTTGCTCCATTGTATAAACCCAGCAGCATGGTTTCCATACTGCTGCCATAAAGTTTCACAGAAAGAGGTCACAGCTTTGGAATGTTGCTGGCAGAAGAGAAACACACCATGCCACCTCCAACAGTGATCTTGAGGGCAGCTGTGTTTGGCACTGCTTGTTGCTGCAGTTCACACATACATCACTTGGAAGCTGCTCTGCTGTTGCTTTTCTTGCAGAAACATTGCTCATCATTCTGTAAAGTTGTCTTTACACAAAATGAGCACATGGGCTATATGCGGGGTATTGCGAACAGGGCAATTGCCCTGAAAAGTCTGCATCCCCTGTTTTGCTTCCTGCCCTCTCCTCTATTTCCATCTTTTCCCTGACAATCCTCAGGAGTCAACAAAGTCCATTGCCACCTACCCTCAAGCTCACCACTGCCAGGCGTGAGGCACAGGAGATCCACTTCACAGTTTCCCACTGGTTCTGAGAGAACTACCTGCAGAAGCTCCCTTGGGTAGAGCCTCCATCCCAGCATGTATGCCAACCTAGTTCCTGGCAGAAGCCACATTAGCCATCCTGAGATCTTGTATAATAGGACAGCATACAAAAGCAATCAATCAATCAATCAATGTGCCCCTCAAGGTTTCCTGCCTGTCCCACAGATGGAAAAGGATGGATGGGGCCATGGTGCAGATTTTTTCTCCACCCCTGCATTGCTATGAGAAGCACTCAGAGCCCCTAACACATTGCTATAAACTAGCTATATGTATGAATTTATAGGTGTATGTTGCCATAAATCAGAGAGGACTTGACAGATGACTTGACAGAACATAACAATGTACCTGTATCATTTTTACTATCAATTTTTACTATTTAATACTCACTGATAAACATTCTGAAAGCCATCTCAGTTTTCTCCCTCTAGAATTTCCAGTCACTTTGTCCACTTCTTGTTTTATATCTCTTGATACTTTGCCACATAGCAGAGGAGGAGCACCTACTTCGATAACACGATCTATTAAAAACAAATATTTACACCTTTTAAAATAAGAAGGTTAATTGGATATATATATGGTTAACTGTCAGAGTCCCACATGTGAAGGAACCTGCATACTGCAAGTTTCTCTAGCTGTTAGGCTCTGTTAATCTTTTGGTCTGCAGCTAGGGATTCCATAGTAATTCTGCAGGTTTGGTTTTAACCACCAATATTGCTCCACTGCTATGGACAATTATACTGAACATTGCATATGCCTGATTTTATCAGATTTACTTTCTATTGTGGGAAAAACCTTACTGGCAGCTACAATCCCTTGCACAAGCTAAGTGGAAAGTGGAAAAATGAAAGTCTGAATGCAAAACTGGATGTTTGCCAGTACTGTATTGCCCTCAGCAGGATAAACATTTCCATACAAAATTAGTCACATGGAACTGCCCATCACTGGAACTCTGAATGAAGCTCAATGAGCATAAAAATAACAAGGAAACAAATAATTTTAGAGCCTGTAACTGGCATTTACAGGATGGTCTATGCTAATCAACCTATAGACCTAAAGTAAATATGCTTGATATCAAGACAACACAATAAAATGATGTGAAAACTGTTGGGTATCCAGCCATATAATATTTGCATTTGCCTATGCAATATTGACAACATGCATGAATCAACTGACTGCTGAAAGTCTTTTTTCAGGACTCTAGGGAAATCATGTGATTTCCTCCCTCTCAAGTCTGGACAGGTTGATGAAGTCCATCCCACATGCTCTCTCACACAGAGAAGCAAAGATATCCAAAACATTCCATAAACTTTTAATGGATATTAAAGACCATGGTGAAACAAAGTGGAAATTTTTGAAACACAGGGATAATTTCTACATCCATAGTATCAGCTCATATGAGTATCACCCACCAGTGTTTCCAATAATCTCATCCCATGATCTGTCTGCCAAGATATTTATCTGAAGAGGATTTATTAGAGGTGTTAAAGACCAAAGTCTCACAGTGGAATCTCGAGAACAAGAGGCCATAGTGAAGGGACGACTAGGATGACATGTTAATCCTAATGGAAAGATATTTTAATGAATTAGTTTTAAAATACTGAATGGAAATATTTAAGAAAATTAAGTTTACTGAAAATGTGTTGAATCAAGTTCCTTAAATACATTACCATAGACATCTGCACCATGATCATACACTGTGTCCAGACAGATTCCATCTCTTGTGTCCCATACTTTGATTGTATAATCCCAGCTACCTGATATCAGTAAATAGGGTATTTCAGTATTCCACAGCAATCCTCGCACTGGCGCTGTATGCCCACTAAGAACGTTTATACACGCATCTTGTGTATAATCCCAAATTCGAACAGTCCTGTAACACGAGTTGATAAAATGTCACTTTAAATAAAGATGCTCACACCACAGCATTCAATTGCATGCACGTTCTCCTACTGTAAAATTAACAGTCCCTAACCAAGTGAAAAACTTTGGTGAATTGCTTCAGCAATTTATTTATTTATTTATTTAGAAAATTTCTAGGCTGCCCCATTCGCCGAAGCCTCGGGGCAGCTTACAAATAAATAAATTAAAATACATAAATAACAATATAAACTACACATAACTGTATAAAATAAGTCACCCTGGCCAAAAACTTTAAAATAAAAATAACATTAACAATTAAAAAGATGCTTGAATAAAAAGGTCTTTGCCTGGCACCAAAAAACAAATAACAACGGCGCCAGGAGGACCTCTCTGGGGAGCGCATTCCATAGATTGGGTGCCACCACAAAGAAAGCCCTCCTCCGAGTACATATCCTCCTAATTTCCTTTATGGAGGGTTCTTGTGAATTCCAATCACAAGAACTTTCAGGTCTACAAAAGTTCCTGACATTTCAAAGGTGACCTGTTTGTTGCAATGCTCACTTCACTAATGCATATGGCACAGAACACCATGTGTATGCTTGCTGCCACTCACACATAAATCTGTTATCACCTACAACTACATGTGAAGCTCTACACATTATAGTCTTCCCCTTTTCATCTTCCTTCATCAATTTCAAAATAAAGGCTTTTGTTATCCACTTAATTTGGTCAGAACCTAGCATTTCTGCAGTTCAAGCCAATATATGTTTACTCAGAAATAATGTCCACTAAAAGTGCACAGAACTGCAGCTGCAGTCTCAGTGAAAGAAGACAGGGATAGCACAGCCTTTATCTTCTTCAGCTGTCTTCAGAGAAATGGAATTTGGTTCACTATCAGGTAACTGAATCACTGTCAAGGCAAGCCAAAGTTAATAACCTATTGGGCCATTTGGATATTGCTCAGAGCTGGACTTAGAGAATTTTTAATAAATCCTTGTGGGTGTGAACGTGCTTCTTTCCAATATCATTCCAAATAGTAAGCATCAATGGATAATCCCAAAGTCTAACCAAGACTAGAACACTGGACTCATCGAGCTACATAGGCCCTCTCAGAGTAGGACTATACACTGGTACAGTGTCAACTACAGCAGCTCAGTTCCAATCTAAACCATCCTTCCACATAAGTCATCCTGTAGTTTTGATATCAGATGAATATAATATATAAAGACAAATAGCATACACACTGAGTACAGTCTACCCTCATGTACTGAATCAAAGACAAGTCTCCCATTGACTTTAATAGTATGGATGTACGGCATTTTTTATACTACAGTTACACCATAATTCCAGCCCAGACATGCTCACCCATCATCAGAACCACTGCATAAGATTCCTTCTCTCAGAGGAGACCATCTTACATGAAACACTTTTGCAGTATGCCCACTGAATACTTTCAGTGGCTGATCAGAGCTAGTTGCTAGGTAGTAGACACGAACATTTTTATCTTCACAGCCAGTGGCTATCATATCTCTGCAAAAAGAATATAGTTATTAATTCTAGAGCTTTAATTATTACCTTTAACATACAATGCTAGCTGGCAATAGCTCCACTAATATCACTTAAGTTTCCCAGATAGTGAGAAAGAAATGAAATATTGTGCAGAATATTTTGCCCCCCTAATCCAGTTATCCAAATCAATTAAACTGTACGCTGGGTAGGGTGTACTGGAAGTTGTATGCTTTTTCTGTCTAACCTAGCAAAGGATTGTGCCCTCAAGAAGTCATCGAATAAATCCAAGCACCTCTTTCCTTTATACTAGCCATCAACCCCAGGCAACATGGCCAATGGAAATATGCTGAGAGTTTTAGTCTACAGTGTCTGGAACCAGGTTGGAATAGTGAAAGAAGGAGAAAGAAGAGGGGAGGGCACAATGCCATTCTACTCACATCTTGCATTGTTACACCAACTGTCATCATTCAGATGTTAATAGGTTATCGTTCTTCAGAGTTCTAAGTTTATTTTACTGCTCATCAATGATCTATGAAGTACCAACATTGTTTTCTAAAATGGGGTTCCAGCATACTCAACATTTTACAGGACCTTTGTTACAAAGAATCTTCCTATTCCTCCTTTCCAATATCCTTCCTGTAAATAAATACTTGGCCCACAAAGGTCTCCTGAGAGCCAAACACATTGCATGCAAGGTATTTTTAGCAGTAGTAAACTGTTTTGCTCTATGTATTTGGAAGTAAATCTTTACTTGGAAATAAGTTATTCTACCTTTTAGAAACAGTGAGTCAGAAGGGGACCTCCCTGGCCATCCAGTCTGACCCCTGGCTCCAGCTGGCTCTGCTCACAACATGCAGAGCCAGCTTTTAATGCACTGCAATTATTTGCAATTGAAATACTACTTTTAATAAGAGTTTTATTAAAATACATATAACATGAAGCAAATGTTTTACATGTTCTTAAGGTTCACGTGCAAACTGAAAACAAGCACTTAATGAGTTTTGCTCAAACTGACTTAGGGTCCAATTGTATGCATGTTCAGACAGAAAAAAGTCCTAAAGCTCTCAGAATTCCTGAGCCAGTCAGTCCCATTGAGAGTTTTACGACTTTTCTTCTGTCTAAACATATTAGAGTTTGGCCTTTGTTTTCCATAATTCCACTGCAGGTAATTCAGAAGTAAGATTTGGGGGAAAAAACAGAAAAAGCAAACTGAATGTTTTTTTTAATTCAAAAAGAACTGAATGTTGTTGCTATACTGTATTTTATAAAATAATAAAAGGAAAAAGACAAACTTTGTTAATAAGAAAAACCCAGTAACTATCCACACAGCTGTCAAAGTAAAGCAAAAATATAAATGGTAGAGGAAAAGAAAGAATGGAGAAGAATGAAGTAGAGAGAGTCAGAAGAGATGAAACATGCCTTAGCGCTCCAAAAGATACCAAAGCTCATGATACACTGCTTACCATAGGAAACCTGTAAGCAGTTTACAAAACACATCACAATACAAAAGCATCAGTTAAAATGTTTCAAATATTTAAAACCAAAGTGAAAAGCATGATGATTAATAAGCAACTACCTGGGCAGCACAATCATTCAGAGACTTGGGTAAAGAGTTTGCTCTTTAATAGCTATCTAAAATATGGGACAGTTTGCACCTCCTGAAACCCTCTGGAGAGGAGGGTATTTCATAAAGTGCTATAACCACAGAGAAGGCTTGCTTCTGGGTTACATAACTGGAGGTCACAGTACAGCCAGGAAGGCCTCCTCCAGTTATCTTACTGATCAAAAAAATCTGTATCAGGGAATGCAGCCTGATTCAAAGTTACTCAGGGCTTCATATGCTAACAGCGACATTTTGAACTTGGCTCAGTAGCTAACAGGTAGTCAGTGGTAGCCATATGGTAACCATATTGTCACAAAGTGTTGCAAGGCCATTTTTTAAAAATTAGAAACAATATCCTTTTACACTGCAGTCCAGCATATCCAGCGTCTGAGGAAAATTCTTTGTTCCAACAGCACAGCCCTATCCCTCCTGATTATACAGGGTTAACAAGCACTCATAACACTGGACAGGTATTACAAGATCAGATTTTATTTTAATATGAAGCAAAAAGAGGAGGTTGGAGTAAGACTCATGTCAGATCTTTGAAGCTTTGGAACAGTATCAAAGCATGATGTGAGGTCAGGGCCAACAATTATCCAACAAAATTAGTCCAAAGAAAAGTGTTGCTTCTTACTAAGTTCTGAAAAAATATTGTCAGCTGAATTAGTTCCAACCTCATATCTAGCCTCACTTATTTTATTCACTTGTCTGCTTTCCTTTGGTGATTATGAACTATAGTTACAAATCCCAAATACCACTTACAGTGTATGGCATCCATTTATTTTCCTCCTATAATGATGCCTGAGGAATATCATTGACGATCCCATCAGAGTAAAAAGGGTTGGCATGTCAGAAGCTCCAGCTGCTTCAGGGTTGGATGTAGATGGTAAGCATATGTTTCAACTGAATGTACTACCATGCAGTCAAGTGTAGAGATTAAATTTGGTTTGCAGTTCACTAAATGAGTCAAAACTGTCATCCTGATTAATTAACTAATAGAGATTGTATTCCACAGTTCAGCCAGGTTTTTCTGTACATCTCCCCCAAATGCCTTCAGTTTAGTTACTAGTTTACTGGTGGGCTCACTGATGGAACTTAAGGTATTTGGTGTTCCTACATAAGTAGAAAACAATACTGATAAGCCATTCAGGTGTCATCTCAAGGCAGGTTCAAACCAGAAAAATAATTGTTTCATATTACATCATGACTTTACTAAGCCAGATCAAACCAACAATTAGATTGCATTAGCTATACTAATTTTAGAACAAGGCTATTTTAACTTTTATTTTTCTTTGGAACTTTGAGATAAAATAGACAAAGAAAACTTAAAGAATAGTTACTCACTTGTTGTTTTGACTCCAATCACAGCCAAAAACTGCAGCTGGATGCCTGTACTTGTGCAGAACTTTGCCATCAATGGTCCGAATAATACTTAGAGAATTGCAGTAGAAAACATAACTCAGAAATTGACAAAGTTTTATGTGAGAAGCATTTAAGTTATGTTATTTAGGGAGCACTCCTATACAAACCATGAGAAAATTAAGTCTTAGAACTCCTAGCATTCTCCAGCTAGCTAGATGAGGAATTCTAGAAGTTCTAATGCTCACTTTTCACATGGTTTGCATGGGATCGAACCTCTAGTTATTATAGATCTTAGTACTAAAGTCTGAAACAGGGACCACACTATCAGCCACAGAATAAAATGGATGAGCCCAAGGGTGCAATAAAGAATTTTCAAATGTGGTCAGCTTTTATCCAACAAATAGTATAGAAATATTAGAATACATGCAATTTTATTTATATCCTATGAAATGATGCAGGGCTGCATCAAATTAAACTGATGATCCCCTGTCACCATATACAGGTTATCCTGATTCACAGCAGCTGCCCCCAGCAGAATTATCTGATATCCTTTAAATGCGGGATGCCAAAGATTAAGCTGGTTGCTTTCTACATAAAAAGCAGGAGTGGGGAACTTGTGGCCCTCCAAATGTTCAGGCTTACAGCACCTATCATCCCT